CTAAACATATGCAGACTCGATAGACTCTAAAGAAAAATACTTATTCTAATCATGACTAGACTAGACAAACTTATCGAGAGTGTTTGCGAAAAATTCACTTTGTTTGAGTTGGTGGCATTTTTAGGCTTTGAACCACTCATAGTTAATATATGTTGGGTTTACTCTACCAGAAGGTGAACATGATGTCTTGAACCAAACGGTGTTTTATGTAAACCGAGACAACATGCATTATGCAGCTTTATTTTCTCATAGAACTTAGTTCTTTATTGTGTTCATTGTGGCCCTGAACTATTTCTGGTTTTTATGAGTGAGCTTAGAGAGTATAGCCTTGCATTCATTCTCTTAGAAATGGCCTCATTTCACACTCACTAGGTGATTAACCATGAAAAGTCTTGAGTAATATTTTGCTTTAGAAGCTATGGAATCTTTAAAAACTTATGTTTATCCTTCTCACATTTGTTAGCACTTTTATCATCTTAGGAGCTGGGAAGAGACTACATTGTCTCAAGTGCTTTGGTTAGATTCTGTTTGATTTTTCTTTCCTTTGAACCTATGTTTTGGGATCTCCAGTCATGATAGGTAGGGTTACAGTCAAGCATCCTCATTCATTATAGGCTTTAAAACCATTCCTTTTGATGATTTAGCAACAATATCTCATGGCACGCCTTTAGTAAATGGATCCGCTAGGTTGTCGGCTGATTTGATGTAGTCTATTGTGATTACACCAGTTGAGATAAGTTGTCTAATAGTTTTATGTCGTCTTCTAATGTGTTGAGATTTACCATTGTAGAGATTATTCTGAGCCCGAGCTATAGCTGATTGATTATCACAATGTCTATGTATAGCTGGCAGATGTTTCTCCCACATAGGAATATCTTCCAAGTAATTTCTAAGCCACTCAGCTTCTTCTGCGTCTTTGTCCAAGACTATAACTCATATTCTTTGGTGGATCTGGCGAGAACTGTTCGTTTGGTAGATTTTCATGATATTTCTGCTTGTCCTAATGTAAAGACATATCCACTAGTGGATTTTGAGTTTTTAGAATATGATATCTAGTTAGTGTCACTGTATCCTTCTAAAACGGTTGGTTCTTTACCATAGTGGAGTCCAAAATCTTTGGTGTACCGCAAGTAATTGAGTACTCTCGTTATAGCTTTCCAATGTGTATGACATGGATTACTTGTATACCGGCTAAGTATGTTTACTTCATGCGCTAGATCTAGTCTGGTGCAATTGGTCAACTACATGAGACTTCAATCACACGTGAATACTCGTTTTGTGAAACTGCTTCCCCTAAGTTCTTTATCAAGTGCATTTGGGGATCTAACAGAGTTTTTGCCATACTATTAGAGTAATTTTTAAATCTCTCTAATATTATTTCAGCATATGAGATTGGGTTAATGTAATTCAGTTTGAATTTCTTGGGACTTTAACTCCAAGAATTACATATGCTAATCTCAAGTCTTTCATCTCAAATTTCCCTTTTAACTCCAAGAATTACATATGCTAATCTCAAGTCTTTCATCTCTTTACCCTGGAGCAGCTTGTCATCATTTCGATTTCTGACTTTCATCTGAAGCCTCTGGATGAGATCCTCAAGTCACATCTTCTTCTTCTTGTGCTTCAGGTAGTTCTTGAAATCCTCATAGCTTTGAGGAAGCTTTTGGATGAAGCTGGGAGTTGTGAATATCTCGCAGATGGACATTCCTTCAGCAACGATTTCATGGCAAATGAGCTGAAACGCTTCCACCTGATCCATGATGGGTTTTGAATCCACCATTATAAAGTCATAGAATTTTGCAACTACATACTTCTGGCAGCCAGCGTCTTCAACTCTATACTTCTTGTCCAGCTATTTCCAGATTTCTTTAGCCGTTGGAATCTCACAATAGATTTGGTACAATGGGTCAATGAGGTGACCCAAAATGTAGCCTTTGCAGATAAAATCAGAATGCATCCAATTTTCGACACTTGCGGAAGAGTGTACATCCTCAATCCCATGAGGGATAATGGGTTTTATCATCTTGAATGAATTTGTCCAGCTTGCACTTTGCGAAGAAAAACAACATCTTCTTCTACCACGTTTTGAAGTTTTTTGCCATCAAATATCTGGCATCAGTCCTTGAGAAATGACACCAGTAATAGCTAGAAGAATCGCAACTACAGCCAGAGTACTTATGGATTCTTGATTTAGAGCCGTTTGATAAAGACTAGCACTGAACAAGCTACGGCTTGTGGTTTCATCAGCAACATTACACCTTGGAAAGGTAGGTGTCATTGTTGCAGCGGTTGTTGTTGCATCAACATTTGTCACGGCTGCATCAGTTGCTGCAACATTGAGTGGAGTTTGTGTGATGGTAGTGTCAATAGGGCTGTTGGTAGGATCCGTCACTTTTTTATGTTGAGAAAACATAAAAGCGGATTCGTACTACAATCAAGAAATAACATATTATTTTAAAGAAAATAATAGTCTAAAGAGATTATAATTTGGCATTTCTAAAAGTCGCACATCGTTTGAAATCACGAAATAATATCGATATAAGTCTGAAAATCGTTTTGCAAACTCGCTTAAAAGCATTTGCATAAATGTTTTATGTAGACTTTTGATTGTTTCAAAAAACCGCTTTAGAAAGTGTCAATGGAAACGAATCGTTTTGAGAATCATATTGAAAAAAACGTTTCGCGAAAATGCTACAGAGCAGAACGTAAACCGTTTTTAATATAAGTATGAAACGTTTAGCAGAAATGCGAGAATCAAATCACAAACACCGTTCCAATTATAACCAAAACCATTCTATAAATCGTTCTCAATCCAATTAAAATATTTAGAACTAAAGCGATTCAGAGTTAAGATTATTGAGCTAGTAAACCGGATCGACATAAACAATAAAACATGGAGACCAGATATAATCTATTTCCTTAACTCTGAATATTTGTTCCGTAGTGAGACGAAACTATACGAATATCGAGTCTCAGGATATAACCATGGCGATGAATCACGCTTCACTCGTGAAACACCGTAACGAACTAAAATTTCTACGAACACTCTCTGAAAACATGTAAATTATAAAATTATTGTATTTGAAATAGTTATATAAACATTTAATTATATGATTAACTTTAAAAATATTTACCACCTATGTTCTAAAACAAATATTTATGTATGTAAAAATGAAAACAAACACCCACGCGGTTGCGTTGATCAAAATCTAGTTAACTAATTAACGAAATGGTCGTAACTTTTGTATAGTAGATTTTAGTGATTCTATTTTAACAAAGTAGATTAAATAGAAAATTTCATTTAATTTATTATCATTTTCTAACCAAATTTACAATTATCCTTTAACGAGATTTTTTTTTTTTTGAAACACTTTAACGAGATTATTTTCTAATCATTTTTACTATAAAATTAAACATTTTTTTTTTCAAATGTGACATACAAACTTTAAATGTCATATATTCACGTATTTTATTATTTCATTTCACATACAAAATATAAACTATAAAAGTTTTATGAACATATTATTTTAAAAAGTATATCTTAAATAATTTGAGATTATTATAATTTACAGAGATATATATATATATAATTATAAAAATACAACAAACAAATATCAGTTTAATAATTTCATCAAAATAAACATATATAGAAGTTATTTGGCATATAAAACACTTTTAGACATACATATCCATATTATTAAAACAAAAGTACATTTTATTAGATATAAAATATTTTTGGAAAGATAGATTTATTAATATACATAAACATAATAAGTGGTGATTTAATTTATAAATAAACACATCAAAAATATTAATTTGAATAACATGGCAATTTTATTGGTTTAATATGCAACCAAAATATGCGCAATTAACAAATTACGTACAGTAAAATTATCAATCTATGATAAATATAATATATTACAAATCGAACAAACACCTATACGAACACATATTTGTGCAACCATTAAAATTTCTTGTGTTGTAAGAAAAAATTATATGTTTATTTTATTAAAACATACATCCATGACCCAATTCTAGTTTAAATTATATAAAAATGTTGGTATTATATTGATGAGAAACTTTTATAGTGTCTTGACAAGTGAGAGCATCATTAACCCACAAACTCATTTTAAGTCTCTTAATCTTTTTTAAATAATAAATGTTACTTAAAAGACCTACTTAAGAGACACCAACATTTGGGTGTTTTAATGGGAGTCTCTTATTTAAGGGTTCTTAAAAAAAAAAATTGTTGTGAATATAAACAGTGAATGTTGATTTAAGAGGGGAAAAGAGAGAAAGCAAAAGTGTTTACTACAAGTGTTTGTTATAAGTCGAGAGTGTTTGTTATATTGACACAAGCCAACAAACTTACAATGTATGGAAGTGTCTCCGAGCTTACCATTTTCATGTTCCATCTGTTAATTCATACAACTTATCCAACACACTCATTGTTCCACTGTCAACAAGAGGAGATAAACCCTGCAATAATAACAAAGATAGAACCTTCTCACTTGAGTCACATAACATCAACAACAAATAAACAAATGAAACGCATCAGTAAGTAAGTAACCTTTTAGTATTTATTTTAGTAGCAATCTGTTGACAACAATATAAATCACCAAGAAGATCAAAGCTTTCAAGTTCCTATCAACGGCAATTTCAAACACTAGGCTAACCAAAAACTATTGTAATCAAAGGAAAGAGTATACAAAAACCATAGAGAACCATAAGCTGAAACAGAGTAGGTCATCAACAATATTAATCTATGCGTGGATAACAATATAAATCAGCAGAAAGATAAAAACTTTTAAACTCCTATCAAGGGCTTCTCAAGCACAAGGCTAACCAGAAACTATTGCAAGCAAGGAATACAAAACCACAGAGAACTACTAGCTGAAACAGAGCATAATAAAACCGAAGAAAGATCAAAGCTTTCAAGCTCCTATCAACGCCATTCTCTCTCAAGACACTAGGGCTAACCTTTGATGTGTTCATGATGATCAGAAGCAGCAGCAACAACAAGCTTCCCTCGTACCTCCATCACGATCATCAGGATATCTAACAACAATAACAGGACAAACACAATGATGAACACGATAATCACTAACAGATCCAAGCTTCCCATCACTCCCTCTCTTCTCAGCACCAAACCCTCTACTCCCCATGATCACCACACTCAAACCAAGCCTCTCAATCTCAAGACACAACCTCTCCCTCAAATCTGATAGGAGTTTGTTTTGGATAGATAAGAACCTGAAGCTAAGCAAGATGTTAAAAGCCTTGTATAAGTTTCCTTTATGGTAGGAAGCTCATAGTTTATGAGAACTCGTGAGGAAAGAGAAGACTCTCCAGATGAAAGCATCGGAAGCTCTGATTTCTCCCAATTTCAATTCCAGGCCCTCGCTGAAACGATAAGACGAAGAGTCTTCAACAGGAATTGATCAAGATGCATGAATCGAAGCTCTGATTTCTCACAAATTCAATTTCAACTGATTTGGGGCATTCATTGAATGTTTCGCAGAGAAGGAGGGGAGGGAGAGAGACACGAAGATACGTCTTTTATTTCTCCTAAATAAGATACATTTTCTCAAAATTAGATTAATTTCCTTTTTCTTTAAATCTTATAAATACTAAGAGATGAAGGTAAAATACCCCTTAAAGATGCTCTGAGAATCCTCTCTTAAAACAATATTATTGGATGTTCTATACTTTGGGTTCTAAAAATATGTATATATGTATATAAATATTATATACACATATATATATATTTTTAGAACCCCAAGTATAAAAACTCTCAACAATGTTGCTCTTACATTCGAGGATTCTTTTACATCTTTTAAATGGTAGGAAAACTAGTTCTCTAACAACAAGTTTTTGCAACTACTGTAGACTGGACAACGATGTGGGAAGGCCCAACATCACGTGCGGGAAGCCCATCACATAGAGCATGGCGCGTGTTAAAGACATACGCATGATATATTAATTTCTCCTCACGCGCCCCCTTTCTTCTTCTTCGACACGCACATTCGTCTATCACTACCGCATAACCCTAACCCTAACGCTCTCCTACTTAACCAAAAACACAATCGAAGAAGAAACAATTCTATCGAAGATCGACAAGATCGTAACCCTAGGGAGCTTGGTTCCCCATGGATTCCCAACAGAGCGATCTCTTCGATACGGCGTCGCAGCCTGATACAGCCGTCGACGCGTACACCTTTCTTGAATTCAATTCCCAAGACGATTCTGAGTTCGATTTCCCGGAGTTTCGATCGCCGAACGCGTGGCCGACGCCTTCCGATTCCATCTCGGCCGTGGATCCTTCCGATCGCGGCGGTGGAGGAGGACCTGCCGCGGATCATCATTCCGAGGCCTCTTCGCCTTCGTCCCTGTCTGCCAAAGCGGGACGTGGTGGTGTTAGTAGCAGCAGTCAGGCGGATGCGTTGGCCGCGGGTGTGGGGAATTTGAATTTCGAGGAGACTGGTGATGATGACGGTTTTGATTATGGTAAGAATGATTTCACGGAGCATGCGTGTAAGTATTGTGGTATCTCGAACCCGGCTTGCGTTGTTAGGTGTAATGTGGCGTCTTGTAGGAAGTGGTTTTGCAATTCGAGGGGTAACACCTCGGGCTCGCATATCGTGAATCACCTGGTTAGTGTCTCTGTGAAAGTGTTGTAGTTTCGTGTATCTGGTTTGGTTTGTTTGCTAAATGGATTGCCTTTGTTGGTTATTTTTAAGGTTCGAGCAAAACACAAGGAAGTTTGTCTCCATAGAGATAGTCCTTTAGGGGAAACAATTCTCGAGTGCTACAACTGTGGGTGTAGAAATGTTTTTCTTCTCGGTTTCATCTCGGCAACTACAGACAGTGTTGTGGTTCTTCTCTGTAGAGATCCTTGTTTAAATGTGAATGCCCTGAAGGATATGAATTGGGACTTAAGTCAGTGGTGCCCTTTGATTGACGATAGGTGTTTCCTCCCCTGGCTTGTTAAGGTTAGTTTCTGTCATTTCTGTTTTAGTTTATTTTAAAAAGATGTTGCGATTATAGCTATTGTTAATTTTTTTATTGCAGGTCCCATATGAGCAGGAGCAGCTGAGGGCACGCCAAATTAGTGCACAGCAAATAAACAAGATAGAGGAATTATGGAAGACAAATCCGGAAGCTACGCTTGAAGACCTTGAGAAACCTGGTGTAGACGATGAACCTCAGCCTGTTCAACCTAAGTATGAAGATGCATATCAGGTAAAGAGTTAATCATTTCGTCATGCCAGTTTATTGGACGAGGTCATTGTTAGTAGTATGATTGTATATTTAACCTTTTTGGTGTTTTTCTTTCTGCAGTATCAAAACGTGTTTGCTCCTCTTATTAAACTCGAAGCAGATTATGACAAGGTGTGTATTTAGTTTTTGTAGGATTATTTTCCATGTCCCTTCTATACTTGTACTGATGGTGGTTATCGGTTTGATTCTGCTGTAGATGATGAAAGAGTCTCAGAGCAAGGAAAATCTCACAGTTCGGTGGGATATTGGTCTTAACAAGAAGCGTGTTGCATACTTCGTCTTCCCAAAGGTGGTTGAAACCTATTTGTCGCATTATGACTGGTTTAAAACTTTGTCTGATTTTAAACATTTGCGGTAGGAGGAAAATGAATTGCGATTGGTGCCGGGTGATGAGCTACGTCTACGCTACTCAGGAGATGCTGCTCATCCAGCTTGGCAATCAGTTGGACATGTGGTATGCGTCTTTCCTGGTTTTGATATCGTTACAACCGTTATTCTGCTAGCAGGATGGATTCTGTTAGTGAGAATGTTTAGGTCCTATTACCAATTTTTCTTTTAATTTATATAGGTCAAGCTAACTGCTCAAGAGGAGGTTGCTCTTGAACTCCGAGCTAATCAGGTGAGTTTAAATCAATTGTTAACCTTTCTTTTGACATTTTGTTGAAATATGTTCAAGCAACCTTATTCGTTTGTAGGGAGTTCCAATTGACGTGGTTCACGGATTTTGTGTTGATTTTGTTTGGAAAAGTACAAGCTTTGATCGAATGCAGGGAGCAATGAAGAATTTTGCTGTAGATGAGACAAGTGTGAGTGGGTATGTCACTCAACTGAAAGCCTAGTTCCTTCGTGGTGTGTCCCCCTTTATTACTGCACGTTGATTAACCACATTATTACTCCGTTTCTATTTTGAAGTTATATTTACCATCAGCTATTGGGACATGAAGTTGAGGCCCAGATGGTCCGGAACACACTACCTCGACGTTTTGGGGTACCTGGTCTTCCAGAACTGAATGCATCTCAGGTAATTAATGGTTTCCTGCTTATTATGTTAACAAAGAGTGTTTGTCGTTACCTTCTTGGAACTTCAGCGTCATTTTTATCTCATGCCCCTTGTTAAACACAACGAAATATGTCATGAATCTGTAGAGCAGATTTCTGACAGCTGTATCGTATTCTTATTCAGATTAATGCAGTGAAGAGTGTCCTTCAGAAGCCCATCAGTTTGATCCAAGGTCCACCTGGCACAGGCAAAACTGTCACTTCTGCTGCAATTGTGTATCACATGGCAAAACAGGGCCAGGGACAGGTAAAGCTGATTATTGATCTTTCAGGATACTTTTTCTGAGTTGACTACCAGAGATTTAAAATAATTGTCTGACAGGTTCTCGTTTGTGCCCCAAGTAATGTTGCGGTCGACCAACTAGCAGAAAAAATTAGTGCTACTGGCTTAAAGGTAGATATTTGGACCTCCTTACCCACCGTCTTGGAAAGTTGCCACCATTCAGTTCTGTTTAAGAGGCTGACAATATTCTTGTCAAAATATATATCTCTTTTTAACCTTTTCTGCTCTGATGTCAGGTTGTTCGCCTTTGTGCAAAGTCAAGGGAAGCTGTAAGTTCTCCTGTTGAGCATTTGACCCTTCACTACCAGGTTAGTTCACATGGTGTCATACTACACCTTACTTCTGTCTGTCCAGTGTCCTTTTATCTCTCTCTTTTTGAAGATTATTCATATGAATGGTTGCTTGCAGGTACGACATCTTGACACTTCTGAGAAGAGCGAGCTGCATAAGCTACAGCAATTGAAAGATGAACAAGGTCCTGCACTTTTAACTTATTATCTTTGATTGAGATTTTATAATCTTCCTTTGCCTTTTTATTGCCAGTTATCTGTAAGTAATTGTTTTGTTGAAGTTTCGAAGTGACCATAACTTGTACCTATCTTTGCTATTTTGTTTTTAACGTCACTAGGTGAGCTGTCAAGCAGTGATGAAAAGAAATACAAAAATTTGAAAAGAGCAACAGAACGCGAGATAACCCAGAGTGCTGATGTCATTTGCTCTACTTGTGTTGGTGCTGCGGATCTTCGGCTGTCAAATTTTAGATTTAGACAGGTTAAGATTAATTTCTTAATTTTTAGAATCTCTAGTTCTGTGGAAGCTGATATGCCTTACCTCTCTGATAGGTCCTTATTGATGAGTCTACTCAATCGACAGAACCTGAGTGCCTTATTCCTTTGGTCCTCGGGGTAAAACAGGTATTAAGGTTCTCAAGGAGCTGACTTGTTGCCGTTTATTATTGTTGATTTCTCACAGATTCTTTTTGCATTAGGTTGTTCTTGTTGGTGATCATTGTCAGCTTGGCCCCGTAATTATGTGCAAGAAAGCAGCTCGTGCTGGCTTGGCACAGTCTCTCTTTGAACGCCTTGTGCTTCTTGGCATTAAACCAATTAGGTTGCAGGTACTTTAGTCGCTTTGCTCTAACCTAGCAGATTTATTTCTTGAAATGGATTTTTTGTTATAATATATATATTTTCTTTGAAGAAGAAAGTTGTGAAACTACAGAAGATAATTCTGTTTCACAATTTCTCTACGTCTCGCTGTCCACTAAATGTTGTCATATTCTTGATTTTAGGTTCAATATCGTATGCATCCAGCTTTGTCCGAGTTCCCATCCAATAGCTTCTATGAAGGAACACTACAGAATGGAGTCACGATTCATGAAAGGCAAACAACAGGGATTGATTTCCCCTGGCCCGTGCCTAATCGGCCCATGTTTTTCTATGTCCAGGTATCAATTTTCATTGGGATTAGCTTAAAACGTTTAAGAACATTGTCTACCAGAACCATGGGCATGGACCCCGCCGTAAACAACCCATTCAAAGTAAACTTCTTCCATTTATCTTGTCTTCCAATTTACAGTTGGGGCAAGAGGAGATCAGTGCTAGTGGAACATCATACCTAAATAGAACCGAGGCTGCTAACGTGGAGAAACTTGTGACTGCTTTCTTAAAGAGTGGAGTTGTCCCCAGTCAGGTTAGTGTACTAGGATTGTTTACCATGTCTAGTATATTATTCTGTCATATGTTAACGTTATAAAATTATTGGCGTTGTTGCCAGATTGGAGTGATAACTCCATACGAGGGACAGAGGGCATATATTGTTAATTACATGGCAAGAAATGGTTCTCTCCGACAACAACTGTACAAGGAAATTGAGGTAGAATTGTCAAAGTCGGGTTATAAAAGGGTTAATTTGATCCCGTCTCTTATTTAACAAGCTCTCAAATTTACAGGTTGCCAGTGTTGATTCTTTTCAAGGAAGAGAAAAAGATTACATCATACTGTCCTGCGTGAGAAGTAACGAGCATCAGGTTTGTGGCTGTTCTGTGGTACACTGCTTCTGAGAAACATGTAGGAGTAGACATTTAACAGCTGGTTTATGGTTTTCAGGGCATTGGATTCCTTAATGATCCACGGAGGCTCAATGTTGCACTGACACGTGCTCGTTATGGAATTGTTATTCTTGGAAACCCGAAGGTTCTTAGTAAACAGCCTCTGTGGAATGGCTTGCTGACACATTACAAGGTACAGCTATTTTTTAAAGCAGAAGTGAGGTCTTTTACTGGATCTTTATCTTCACCTTCGGTTGCCACTCAGAAATCAGGAGTTGTTACAGTCATTCTTTGTGAGCCTTTGGCATGTATGTTATCCTTTTAGTCCAATTTGATCATTTTGTTTGTTTTCGTTGTATCGGCAGGAACATGAGTGCTTAGTTGAGGGACCTCTTAATAATTTAAAGCAGAGCATGATACAATTTCAAAAACCAAGAAAGGTACCAGATAGACATCGCTGCTCATCAACGTAGATTACAAGGATAAAAATATAAACGTAATCATCTTTCCTACTTTTTAGATGTATAATGATCGGAGACCATTTTATGGTGGTGGGGCTGGCATTATTGGAAATGATAATCCCAATGCTGACAGAAGAGGCAGCCGTGGAAGGGGTAAGTAAATGTCCAGTACCTTTTTTATATCTTTGTGATCATATTTGTGCTTTTATCATTCGATTGATTCAGCTGGTGGTTGTCATATGCCTCTGGCGCCACCTAGTGTGGATCCCCATGTTTAAACATTTTCTTCTATTGATGCAGCTGGTGGTTCTTATATGCCTTCTGGCCCCCCTAGTGGTGCGAGATTACACCCAGCTGGCTTCCCAGTCCCTAGGGTACCATTTTCTTTTCCCGGTGGTCCTCCTTCTCAGCCATACGCTATTCCAACTCGTGGACCCGTTGGTACTGGTCGTGGAAGTTCAGTTGGGGGCCACCTCCCTCACCAACAGGCCACCCAGCACAATGTTGGAACTATTGGCCCCAATGTGAACTTCCCCGTTGATGGTCCAAATAGCCAGCCTTCGCCTGGTGGTCCGCTATCCCAACCTGGATATGTAAATATCGCCCGCATCTCTTTCCGTTTTTCTTCATCTATTTTCTGAAGCATTAGAGCTCTATTGTTTTTGGTTTACTGTAAATCATCACGATTGCCTTTTCAGGGTAGCCAAGCGTTCAGGGATGGATTTATGGGCGGCATTTCTCAGGTTGCCTTCTCGTTTTATGTTGGGTGATTCGGTCCCGGTGCTTTCTACGTTTTGTCTGTTGTTTAATTTATTTTTTGCCAATACCACCAGGATTTCTTGGGTGATGATTTCAAGAGCCAGGGATCTCATGTTCCTTACAACATGGGCGACTATTCTACACAGGTGTAGTTTCTCTTCTGCCTGCATGTAATAATTGGATATAGGATAAGCTTTTAAGGAAACTTGAAACCATAATTCGGAGATTGGGCCAGATCGATAACTATGTGCTGCGAAGTTAATACTTTTTGAATTTAGCAATAGAGATTACGACTAGTTTTTATTGCACGTTTTCTAATATCTGTTCTTGGTTCTGGGCTATAACTGTATATAATTTTGTGGTATGCCCCTCAGGGAGGGTATGCAGTTGATTACGCCACACAAGGAGCCCATGGAGCGTTTCCTGGAAACTTTATGAACCAGAATTCTCAAGGCGGTTATTCTCGTTTCAGTGGGAGTAATGATTTCATGTCTCAGGTGTGTTTCCTTTCCTTTTAACACAAGTTGTTTTATTAATCTTACACCTTCATCTGAGTCTTCTATTGCTTACACAGGAGTATATGGCACATGGAGCACAAGGTCTTTTCACCCAAGCTGGCTTTATCGACTCGTCCCAGGATGATGGACAACAAAATCCTTTTGGTGTGAACAATCCTAATCTTCAGTCACAGGTATGTACTTAATCCTAATCCCTTGATCGTTCGTTATCATGTTTATGATTAACAAAAAAAAAAAGACTTGGGTTGGCGAAGGTTGCGGGTTCATTTAGAGAGAATACACTCTAAACATTAACACAAACTCATACAAACAATTGAGGCCTGTCTGATTTGTGTTCATCATCTTAATTTTTGGTACAGGGTCTCCCGAATTCACTCTACTCACAGCCTTTCTCACACTACACCCAGCCTCTAAACCTTTCAGCCCCACAGCAACCTCAACCTCCTAACCAAGGCTCACAGAACCCGAAACTTCCTCACAATGGCTAAAGATGACACATTCAAAAGTTGAATGCAAAGGGTTTGTAAACCATATTTGCAAATTCAGCAGTTTGGTATCATGCTATCACGGCTCCAAACAAACATCTGGTGGCTTCGGGGTGCTTGCAAAGGTACATGCCGCAGCAACAGGTAATGATAATGCAGAGACATGTACCCAAGTAACCCGAGGAGATTCTTGGTCCATAAATCCTATGGGCTTATATAAACGTTTGGTTTTGCCGTGTAATATTATAACATCCTCTTATTGTAGTCAGTTATCTGAAGCTACCTTGTCAAAAATTGGTGGTGGTGTATGGTGATATTGATATGATTACTACAAACTCTAGCTTTGTTTGTTTTTCTGGATATTTTTCACCTGGTGCGTATCTGAATTATTGATTATCTGAATTATTGATTCGGTTTCCCTGGTATTATTTGATTATCTGTGAGATGTGTACAAGTTTTTCACTTGGTACCTGTCTGAATTATTGATTCGGTTTCCGTGGTATGATTTGATTATCTGTGACATATGTGCAAGTTTTTGGTTCCGGATAGGTTCTTTGTAGCTTTATGGGGATTGTGTGATCGGATTTGGGTATGGGATATTGATAAAAACCGATTTTAGGTTTAATAAAGGTTTGGTTCGACTTGTATAGCTTTTCAAAATGTTTCTCGGAAGGAATTTTAAAACAAAACTAGATTTGAACCTGCGCGGTTGCGTATAGATTTTAGGTTTAATAAAGGTGTTTGTTTTCGTTTATAATTAGTTATATAAACATTTTATTTTCACTTGTAAATTGGTATATATTATAGTAATCACATAGTTACGATGTGTATAGTAAATGTTTTTCAAACATAATAATATTATATAATATGTATTTTAATCAAATAGATTGTTTCAATTTTTTTATATTATACATGTTTTTCAAACATGTGTTTGTTTCTTCTTCTATATTTTATTACTTGTTAGATTAGTATTTCATTTTGAGATAAAGTAATATAAATAGAGCTTGATTAAATATTAGTATACTTTAGTATGCAAAGATAATATAAACTTCGAATAAATTTTTGCTAAAAAGCTAAACTTATAGCTTCATAAATTAATATTATAAAGAATTTTATTTAAAAAAGAATTTTTTAAACAATTTTTTTTTTAACAATATAGTTTTAAAATTTTACATCGAAATAAATTTATCTAGAAGATTGTTAGGGTATATAAATATTTCATATTACAAACATGTGATTTTTGTTAATATATTGTGGATGCATTTAACTATTATTTATATTTTTCCGTACCAATAATAGAAGATTCATAAATTTATATCTATTGACATATTTTGCGTAACTAAGTTGGAAAGTATGGGATAATTTTGCCAAACCAAATGGTTAAGCGTATCTTTGTTATTATAGATATGAGTTTTCATAAGATATAATAATAGTAAGCTTATTAGAGAGTTAATGTAACATGACTTTCTAGTAATAGTTCATTTTTCTAAAATATCACATATGAAGTCAAGTCATAACTTCTGTTTTAATATATAAGATGTGAAGTTTTCACAGCAAAATAGGTTTATATATTTCATGTTTTTTTTTGGTTTGGACACGAAAGGGATTGTGCAGCATTGACTAAGCGTGGTTTACTTTCGTCTATATCTGGTGTGTCGGTGTTTAACGGAAACTATACAAGTACATATTTAAGTTGTATGTTTGCTGTAGATTTCTATACTACATATTTGTTGTATATGATGACATTGCAAGATATGAGGACTATACAAAATTATTATTCATTATCCCTTCCTATACTATAAAAGATAAATTAAAGATCTAAAGATTAATATAATTTAAATGCAATGCTTTTCTAATCATATATCAATACCACTATAGCATTTTAGATTATTCGTAAAATTAGACACTAATATTCTATATATCATCTAACTTTATCAATATCAACCATAATAGTTAATTATGTATTCATGTTATTATATGCTAAGTTATATGTTCACATTATTTATTTGTTATCACCTTTTTATTAACTTCTAACATGTGAATCACTTACACAATCATTGTCCCTAACACAATTTTAGACAACAACAAAAATGGAGGCACTGTCTATACGTTATATTACAAAAATATAATTACACATTCTCAATTAAATGATTTTAGTAGTCCAAAATTAGTAGTGAAACACAAAATTTGACAAAACAAAAATATACTGAAATTAAAAACAGATTAATGAGATTAAAAAATTGTTTTTCTCACATTCTTCCAAGCAAAATCATTCATCAAACTTAGATAATCCAGCTTTCCAACCATATTCCATTCAGTAGATGATATAGCCAAGCCATTTAACCTTTTTCTGACATATATGATCGCAAATAGGATTTGATCAACTTTAACTTGGAAAAACTCATTTCAGCTGAGGTAACTGAAATGAGAATAGTTAACATCATTATGTATGCATTCCATGTATTTGGATAACATTCTTCAAACTTCCTCAAAAAATCTAGCACTTCAACAGGCTTTGTGATCCCGCTTGATAAGAGATATCTTAAAATTTTAATCTCAAGCAATGAATGATTACAATCAACATCTGAGTGCTCTCCATGTTCAAAAGAAGTTTCAAAGTTGATACATGATGCTTTTAAACCTTCATCAGTTATTGTTTCTCAGCTTTTCTCGATTGAACAATAATACAAATATTTTTTCATAGTTTTTAAATTGTTCAAGTGAGATGTTATCGTTTGATCCACAATTCTGATGAAGAAGTCGATTCTGAATTTCTCTTCATCACTAAACATATCACTCATCCATTTCTTCCATCTCTTCATCAAAGTTTTTTTTTTAATGAACCGCTTCCTTTTTACATGAAATATTGGCTGGACTTCCATAGACTCCACAATTATTTTAGCTTCAGCTTTTGCTTCTTTAAAACCAGTCTCTGTATTTTTAGAGATATGACACTAGTCATTTTAGCTGAACAAGAGCATCATCTATATCAATATCAGTTGACTGCATTATTTTGCTCACTGCCTTGACGACAAACAAAAGATTATACCAAATAACCATGCTAAGTAAGAACTCATATACTCCAATTCCATGTGTTACATTTTAGCGAGAACTTCAGCATTGCTGCGAGCTCCAAGATCATCAAATTTTTCTGTCAAAAAATTCTAAAGTTTCTCTTATTTTGGTGCCTGAAATCGAATTGCTCGAACATTTTCAATGCGACTTTCCCAATGAGTCTCTGATAATTGTTTAAATGTGTGACCTCCTACCATATCTTTAAAAAGTTACATCTAGTTGTAGACGCTGAGAAAAAAAAAACTTAAGAGTAGTTGGATGATTCAGAACAATGAAATAACTTTGGAAGATGATTTTGCCATATCTGAAAGTGCCAAATTAAGATTGTTGAAGCCATATGGCATATAAAATGCTCTTGGGTTGATGTCAATCCGTCTTCTCTGCACTCCTTTGTGATCTTTTTTCATATTGTATCCATTGTCATAGTCTTGTCCTCTCACATTATCTATATTCAAATAGAGACAAGCCAAAATTTCACAAAGCAACTAAAAAGTCTTTTTCCAGGTTTATCATGAACTTCTAAAAAGGTCACAAAAAATTCTTCAACTTTAGTAAAAGCCAAAGAGACATCTACACATCTCATAACAAGACGCATTTTTTCTTTGTGACTCTTTTCAGGAGTACAATCAAGAATAACTGAAAAGTACTTTGCCTCTTGAATTTCTTTATGATCATAAGCTTGACTTCAGATCCTAACATATAAATCAACTCATTCTGGATCTTGTGGCTCAAATAATTTTAGTGAGTTTCACCTTATTGAGTTCGGCGGATATGCTCCCGCATGACTGGATCAAACTCCGCAAACGTTTCAATAAAACTCAAAAAGTTTTCTTTGTTTCTTTCACCAATCGTCCCCTTTTCCTCACGAAAATCCAAATTTTGTTTTACAAGAATTTTTTACTAATGCAAATAGTCTCAACAAAACTTCCTTCCAAAGATTTTTTTTTTCTTTGTTAACATCTTCTTGAAGACACTTATCAATGGTTTCATTCTTTCGTAGTCTCAATGCTAATTCCATCCGTTGACTCATACGTACAATGTGACAGTGGCTGGTTTCATGTTGAACTAGTCTGATCCTGATATTCTTCCAATCCTTTAATCCTATGCTTGACAGTTGACTTGCATCTTGTTCTCGACCAAACATCTTACAACAAAAGCAATACACTTTATCTGATACTTTTGAATAAACCTGCCAACTCATGTATTGTTTATCTCCATTTTTCATCTCTCTTTTTTAATATCTATGAGAAAAATATTTGCTACGAGAATTCTTCGGAAAACCATAATCTTCATGTAGTCTTGCCATATGACCTTTTTCAACCATAGAATCTTTGATACTCTGATCAATTTCACCCATTTGCAGGATCAATAACATTTAAAACGTCATTTTCATGCCTAGCGTTAAACCATCCACATCATCACGCTCCTTTCCAACTTCCTCTTTCTCATCCACGTTCATATTTTTCTCAGATTTATCCTTCTCTAAACCAGACTCTCCTCATCATCAACTCTATCACACTCATCAATCTCTAGAGGTATTGATTTTCAACATATCTGAACATAGAACCTGGAATAGATCTTACAAATTATTCATCGTTTTTCTTCTTTCGTTTTTTGGATCCGAGTTTACACTTTGTTTTGTTTGTCAAAATTCCTAAAATCATTATGTTAAAATTTTTATTTAGAAAATAGAGATTTAAGTTACTAACATTACTTATCAATAATTTATTTTTCTTAAAAAAAAATACATACCTATCATAATAAGAAAAATATCACTGAAATGAAACAAAAAAAAAAAGAAAATGGAGAGTAGAAGAAGAACATTAAACTCAGGCCTGGACAAATTGTGAGAGAAGAGAAAGTACGAAAAGGAAGAAGAAACGTTGCCGTAAAAAATTACATTTTATTTTATTTTATATTATTAACTAATTGTGGATTCCAATTTATTTATAAAATATCTTCTACAAATTTTTCAATTCTTCTTTCGGCAACTATTTTTCTTGTTTATGAGAAAGGTATAAAAAATTAAATATAAGTGCATAAATTGCATTATAAATTGAGGGTCTTAAGCCCATATCTTAGTCTACTTGGTTCAAAGATGCCCCTGATTACTGCATTACTTAGTAGACACTACAAAGTGTTAATCTGAAAAATATCATTTAACATGAGTGCATTTCATATTAGAATACTCTGTGGATTTTTTGACATGATAAGACACTTTGCACTGGAGGGATACTTT